TAATCCCGCCTGAAGGGGTTAAGTACGTGTACTTTGCAGCTCAAACATGGTAATAATTTTTGTATCAGACTTTGTCACATGCGCATGTCTTTCAGATGAAGATCTCTAATAACCTGCTTCAGCCATCGGATCAGATCCTGCACATGGGCTGGATTGGTGAGAGACTGCCCACCGTCATGCAGATGCACACCTGGAAGCCCAAATTCCTGACCATCCGTGGCTCAGACATCCTGCTCTTCAACACCCCACCTGTGAGTAGAAGCCAAAGGCCCATGACCTTGACATCTGTCCCAGATATGGGTAGTGGCGTAAAGAGTGGAGCCTGGGAGATGCATAGGCCCTCCCCCCAAAAAAATCCTCCCTTCTAAGTCGGCCCCGTTCTGGAAATTTGAACCCAATGTAATATTAAATTATCTAAGAAAAAGAAACATTTGATGCCCCCCTCTGTGACATCCAGTCCCTCTCCCAATCACCCCTGCACCCCCCCACCCCAGGCAAGAATCTTGGCATCACTGCTGAACATAAGGTCATCCAGGCAAAACTCTGCTTTTGCTGACACACAGTCTGCATGTGCTTGTTTGCGTGCATCCAGCGTGGCAGACGCATGAGTTTTATTCACAAATCTGTGCCATATATAGGTGATTGGCCGTCAGGTGCAACATGTTGATGTTCCTGGGTTACCCTGCAACTCTACTTGAATCATTTTGTATTTTCCCCACAAACCTTTTTTGTTAATTGTGGCTCTCCCTCTTTCAAACGTGACCCAACTTCACAAGATGATTCACAAGCCAACGAAGCCACCTCCGAGTTTTATACCGTCGCTTTCAAAGAATCTTGTACAGTGCAAATCAGTGGGAACCCCCAACATTTTTCGCCCACGTACTGTACATTTTCTCCGGATATCAACCTGCATAAAAGTGGACAGTTACAAAAATAAAAGGAGGGGTAACTCAAGTAAAATATTTGCACAGCTTTATACAGAAGTATATATTCTTGTATTTGATTGTCTACAGTTAACAGTTTTGAATTGTTTTATGCCACACAGGTAAATACAAGAGACTGGGTGAGGTGTGAACGAACGTACAAGTTGTATGAGGTCATCACCCGAGTTTATAAGGTGGGATTTATGTTAATAGCATTGTAAAAAGGATTTGCTCTAATTATAATGGAATGTCAGATATTTTGCAGGGCTGTTGAAATCTTGAGAATTGACCGGTACAACCTTGAAATGAATTGAAAATTTACACCAACACAGCCTGTCTCGATTGTCAGAGCATGCTTGGCTGTTGCAAAGCACCCACAGTCAGCTTACATGAATACACCTCATGCTGTTGGTACTCGGTAATAGTCCCTTTAACATGGCAAGGAACCATTGAAACAAACGGGAAGTACAATCCCCCTTTCGCATGTAGAATAGCCTCAGGGTTGTTGTTTGGTTTAGTGTCAGTGAATTAAGCAGCTGATTATTGATTTTTTGTAAATGCATGTTCACATTTTTTCATGTTGCACAGCATTGTTCTAGAATGTGATAAATTGATCAAAGGAATTTTGAGTCATAGTTAAGTGCGAATGTTCTCAAAACCACCAAGAAATGGCTATTTGACTACTAGTGTGGATAAAACTTACATGTAGTCTGATGATTTGTGTGTGAAGGTTTTTCCTCTGTTATTTCAAATGCAGTGCATGAACCTGAGGCTTTTTGGCATCAGTGTTTGTTGGCACGTGCTTTTTCCAAGTTTTGAGGCACTCCCTGACTGATTTTTACCCATTTTGGTACCAATTTCTAATATTTGATTTTCGCGGCAGGATTCTGAGCTGATGGATGACAGGCCTCACTGCTTCACTCTACAGACTGGGGACGCCGTCAGCAACCACCATTACTTATGCACGCAGACTCGCAGCGAGCTCAACGTGTGGCAGAATGCGATCCAACGAGCCACGCAGGCCGCGGTCTCCAAACTAGGCGTAAGTGTCTCAGAGAAGCTCATATCTCGTCTGATCGATCTCTGATTGTCATTTCTGAGGTTTTTCAAAATTGCCATAGCTGGCATTGTGACTCGGGATTTTTATCCCAAGTTACAAGGCAGATTCATCTTGGACTGGGCTGGTGATGACATACATAGGAACAAGAACAGATTCTTACTTGAATACACCTGATTGTGATTCACTTCTAGAGAAAAAGGTATTTTTACGAAATCAAACTCACTTTTTTTCTTGTAGTATTGGGGGGGGCAGAATTGTTTTGGGGAGGCCGAAATATTTGGTAATTTTTTATATAACTTTTTTGCCGTTGTTGCTTTTCCCTCCATCCATCCTTGTATACAAACAATAAATGTTCATGAGTGCAGCAGTAGAAAAATGATTTCATGAGGTAACAAATGAAGTGGAATATAAGCAGAGTGCGATGGAACATTTCACCTGTCTCCAAGTGAAATTTTTATCATAGTGTGTAAGGCAAAATATTCATTCTTTGATTTCATACAAGGGCCTGATTAAATCCAGCAAAACTCTTGCAATCCTGGCAAGATCCCCACCTGAAGGAGCCCCTACATTACCCACGCATTCAGACCTTTGTTGAATAGAATGCCTACCACTCCATTTACTTGTGGAATGGAGCTTTCCACGTTTGCTACGAATAATTCATGAGATGTGATCAGTAAACCAGTGGCCCCTCTGAGAAATTACCATCTTGAAAGCACCCCATAATACGCTTGGGCTTACCGAGCTACAACTGTTACTAAGAACTTTGTTTGGATTATCACTGTGGTCGGCGGCAGTGTAAAAAATGCACATTTAAACTGTGTGCTTTTGGAATTCTGCAGTACATGCTTTCTGTAGACGGAAACGTGACCCGATACATCGTAATCAGGAATAAGTTGCTGAGACCGTTTTACGTAATGGCCGAGTAAAGTGGGGATGTGGGTAAATGTTGAAAAAATCAATGTGGTGGTTTCTGTATATTTTGGAAGTGTATGTATGAAAGGTCACCATCAACATACGTGTAACGTGTACCATTTGAAAGCTTATGAAATTCTGTTTCTGACCACGTACATACCTTAAAAAGTCAATTTGCAACTTGTTCCTGATTTCGATGTACCAGGTCACATATTTGCTTCTTTAAATATTTCCTCTCTAAAAATACACATACTTTCAAAACTTGTGAATGACTAAAAGACAGTTGATTTTAAGTGGAGACAAACCTTATTGTGCCTCTACTTTCAGACAAAAACGTACGGATGCACATGGCGGAAAAAGGTGGTGGGACTGACCTTTGACCTGTCAACAGGTTTCACATTATTTGATGCACAAAATAAGGTAAGTCAATAGTTCTTATGGCTTTTGATGGCAGTGATTGTTGAGAGGAGACCTAAGTTACTACATGGAAAGAGAGAGCTACACCTTTTTTGCTCAATGGATTTTGAAGGGGGGGGTTGGAAGTCAGAGTTGTATCATGCAGTATGCAGATGTGGTGTTGATATACCACTTGAACAAAAGGTCCAAGAAATATGGTTTTGTGTTGAATTTGAAAGGGGATTTTACTGGGAATTTTGTTCACGTTCTTGAGACAGTTTTGAAAAGAGCGGTGTCTGGACCTACAGTGAAGGAACTTGCTGTGAAAAGGACCATTTTTTTTTCTCTTGAAATTGAAAGTGACTGTATTTGCTTGTAAATTTGTACTTGCTAACCCCATCTTGGAACACAGGTGAAGACGTCATGGAATTCCCTCTGGTTGTGTAATATTTGGGGCTTTCATCAGCATAACAAGCAATGGTTTATTGCCTGAAGCTACCCCATAGGTAATGATGCCTAATCTCCAGTCAGAGTGGTTTAACAAATCAAAATCCTCTGGATTCCATTAATTCGTCGGTTGGACCACAAAGTGACGTACAGAATAGTTTTGGTTCATCACGAAGTGACGTGCCATCCATAGTCTTTGTACACACGATACGACAGTTTGTGGTGTAGCAACTATCCACAACATGTCAGTTCATGATGCAACTGACAATTTCCAGTCTGGATCTCTTTACAGCAAGCAATCATTTGGAGGTACCGATTCTCCCAGCTCAAGGGCTCGTCAGATGACAACATTTCAACGGTGAGGCTGCAGTTCCACAACCCCAACACAGACCAGGTCGAAACCCAGGTGGGTCATGACAAAGGTTAAAGGTCATCTCTAGACTGTTTTCCATGAGGGGTTTTGGACAGTCAAGTCACTCTGCTGAAATGTTTACTGCACTGCTAGTGCTCATAGGACCTATGAGGCTGTAGTTGCAGGATTTTCAGTTACCAAGTATCTTCTTTTCTGCATCTGTGATGACAGTGGAAAAGTATTTGGCTAGAAAGGAATATTGATGAATTTAACTCCAAGTTTGACTACAGAAGCATAGATCTTAGATCCAGGTTTACTGCATTTTCGTGTTGTGTTTGCATTTGTTTGAATGGCATCTGCATAATTTCCTACTTGCAAGAAAGCAACTTCCTTAAATATAGGACATTGTCTTGCCTTGTTTGGGGCTTATCTTCTCTTTTTTGAACATTTAGAACTGTCCTTTTGCTGAACAAATAAGGGTGCCGTTGTTGTGATGTCATTTCAGGAAGACGCTGTTCATTTTGGGGGGTTCTCAGTGCAAACTTTGAATCCACCATGACAGCAGGCCCACGGTACACTGCAATCACCCAAGAAAACAACTTCAGACACCAAAATAATTTGACAACTGCTGATAACTTTTTTGTGCTGAAATGACATCATGCTCTTGCCGATACGAATGCAAATTTTCATTAGCATGTTATTAAAAAACGAACAAGATGCTCTTAAAATTAACAAACAATGAATTTGAAAACAAGATTAAATAAGAGACAAAGGTGCATTAACAAGGACCATAGTTATAAAAGAAAAAATTTACTTTGCCTCGGCTCTTGAAATCAGCCGTCACTGATGACTCTACAATTGTTCTCCCCAGGAGTTGGAGTGTCCACATCTGAGAAAATTACTTCACTGTATGCACGCCTTCCTGTCAACCAAGCTAGCCTTAGTCGATCCAACATTCATGAGGAGTACCACGGCAATACCCGGAGAGGGGCCTCATTGATGAAAATAATGCTGCATCCTTGTAGTGGTTGGGTTTTAATAGTGGGTTGGTGGTAAGGGGCATTTCGGCACTCTGGAGCCCCTGATTGTGTTAAAGTCTTCATGGACTTGCCTGAATATGGAGATAAGTTTATTATAAAGTCTTCTCCGCTGATGTCAAATTTGGTGAACAAGTGAATTTGGTGGGGGGGGGCTGACTGAGTGTGGTAGTTGGGACTTGTGCCGTTGCGTTGAATTCCTGTTTCATACAAACTCAATTTAGGACAGGTAAAATTTTGTCAGCAACTTAACTCAATGAAATAACACAGTGCCAGCGTCAAAACTACTGACTTTTTTTCCTTACCTTTATGTCGCATCAGGAATAAGATGTTGGTATTGCAGTGAAAAAAGGGGGGTTATACTTAGCCTAAAAGCAAACACACCTGCAAATTGGTCATGTACAGGCAGGGTTTACGGCAGCAGTAAATTTGAATGCGGCGGGAGACTTTGAGATGCTTGGGGGTGCAAGCAAACAGGCCCACGTTTGTTTGCCTCACATTTGAGCTAATGCATACATGCTCAAAATGACAAAAAAGATAGTGAATTGGACCTGTCGGACAGGTATGTTTGCCGCCACCAAGTGTCTCGAAAAGTCTTTCACTGGACGTTAGTGAGCTACACCATTAACAGTTTGTGGCATCAGATTTTCTTTTGCATTCACCATCGCATGAAGTATGAACCCAACCTTAAGACCTACAGGATTTCTGGACTCATGTTAATGCTTTGTGATGTAACAGCCTCTTACCAGTGTTTGGTTTGCTGTCGGAAAGTGCCATTTTAAATTTGCACTTCATGTGAGACCTGCAATGGGCATGCTTAAATCATAATCGCCATACCTGCGTGAATACTTTTGCAGCCATGTTTATGCATGAACATATTGAGTATTCGTTTATATTTACTGTTGTATTCATCAAACTTGTGCATTTGGATTTCATTTGTATTCATTTAGACTCCATCCACGTAGAGTTTACTATTCTGGGGATCGGGGCAGGGTGGTTGAATTTATTTTTACTACACCTCATAAATATTCACAAGCAAATCAGGGGGCGTCATTGGCTGATTCCACCTCGGGTCTGGGAATTAGAAATGATACACAACCAGGTGACGTTATAGCGATGAGTATCCACCTCGCTGCTGTGCGGTCGTTTTTTCTGGTAGCATCAAAATGTCCCTCTGGAACCCGCCGCGTAAATATATCGTCTGTGTCATGTAATCTTTACGGAACCAGTCTGGACTTGTATCCTACTGACTATTACAGTAAAGACCCAAACCGTATGTCAGCACCAGACTATTGAAGCCCCGTTTCTGTGCACATCTGCACTCCACTATCATTACATGGAAATTTAGCAGCTGAGAAACAACGATGGTGTCCGAGTACAAGTAACGTGAGATTTGTGTTTGAATATTTATGAGATGTAGTAAAAAAAAAACAGCATGGTTTATTTAGAGAAAATAGTGGAAATTACGGGTTCCCCGGTGTAGGTCAGTTTGACTACCTCCCTCCACTTCACCTTGGGAGGTAGTCAAACTGACCTACACCTTGGGATCAGTAATTCCCTGTACTTCCCCTCAAACCGTGCTGTATTTGTATACTACCAGCAGTAGTTCTTTAGGGAAATATGTCAGTTCAAAGGGGCATTGTCGCATATGCTCTGCCACTTTGAGACAAGCTGCCTGTTTCTTTTCTATTTCTTCACCTCACCTTGGTATGACAGATTGGGGCTTCACGTTTTATGTTGGTAATTTTGGTGCTGTAATCTTTGATTTAGAAAGTTGGTGAACCAATTAATGGTATTCCATCAGTTGTTTTTAACTCAATGAGCAATGCAGAAGTGCACAATTCATTGTACATGTAATTTGCAATTTGCATAATCTATTTAAAGTCATATTATTTCATTTTTACATGAATTTACTCACTAATATTTATTGTAGATTCCTATTTCAGGAAATAATTTTTCAATATTCAAGCCTAAGTTTAACAGGAATTTTTTCCATACATATATACATAGATTGTTTCCTAGGGGATATGCCAGCTTATGTTTTGTATCAAGAGGAAAGCAACATGCATCAGGTGCCAATATTATGGAACTGCTTAAGCACAGAGAAGTGTACTAGTTGTTTAATTAGCAAAGACAGGTTACCAAGCAACATGCCGTGTAAAACTGCCTGTGGGTTACTTTCCAAAGAAATGGAAATTCATGACCGCGAAATATGAAAATTCCAGCAGTTTTTCTGTGCACAAATCAGTGCAACACTGAGATTCAGTTTGGTCCTGAATATGCAAATATTTGCATCATGATAAAAACCGAAAGGCTCCAAAATGCAGGTTGATACAGCAAAATGAGACGTAGAATCATGGGTAATTGAACAGGAAAGTGCAGTTTCAAGGGTTGTAGTAACATAATTGTATTGCATGGTCCTTTTGAAATATTTTGCTAGGGTTTGCTCTAAAAAGCTTTGGTACCCGTAGCAGAAACAGAAAACTTTATAGACTGATCCGATGAGATGCCATAACTGCGGTGGTACTGCACTCACACACACATTCCTTAGCTTGACGCGCGTGTGTATTTGACAAGTCACGACCTCACAGACCTTTTTCCGGTGATGTCACGATCGTGCTGGACCTATGCCGTGTTGTGATGGCAATGAGTGCATCGTGTTGTGATGCTAATCTACCTACTGGAGATAAACTAGTCAAGCATGCAGCGTTCACACGTGCGCTTGCACGTGGTTGAAGCTGCCCGTAGGAATATAATGGATCACCGTGGCCAAGGCGGTCCACATGTGGTGGTATTGTTTACATTTAGTCATGTGGGTGAAAAGGGTCTATTGGTTGAAGAGGCACGTAACGCCCACGGTCCGCCTGACTACAAGCCTTGTACCACCGCAGTAATGGCTTCAAATCCGGGTTGTTGATCTACATTATAGCCGATAACAGGTTTATAGCCTATACCAAAATAGGCAACTTCACTGATTTCCACCCTTAGGTTTACAAAACCTCCCATTTTCTTATCAGCCATGTTCCTCTTGAGAGTAAGGCCGAATGATTTCAACTTGAAGCCTGATACTTGACTGGCACATTCGTTAGTCTGGTAGCAGTTAATTGATTTAGCACTGAAGGGATGCAGGACTAGACATTACATTACCTATATCATCTTGCGTTATGTGTTTTCTCTACCTTGGACACTCATACACGGTATTGATGGCCCTAAATTTCGGACTTGGTCTAGACTGGCAGATAGTACAGATGGTTAAAGATTATGACTACAGGTTCAGGTTAAGGCCTACAGGTTTTTGGCTATAGCCTCAGGCTACTACTTTACAAGTTGTAGCTCCGGACGACAACTTCAGGCGTACTGCATTGGGCTACGTCGTAATGTTACAATTGTAGGCCACAGGATTTTGGCTACAGCTCCAGGATA